GTAACAACAACAAAAACAGCTTCCCCCTTTTTCTATAGAGTTTAAAATATTTAAGGGAGACAATTTTGGCTTCAAGAGTTCAGATAAATCCCTGGAGACTGGGCTTTATTTCCTGCTTCCCTACTACATGTGTGTGTGTGTGATTGTCTCTGTGGGTTTACATAACAGATAAGCAAAATTGCAATTGAACATGTGCAGAGAGCCTCCCGGTCCTAACTACAAGCAAATTATTGTGATTTTAAATGCATGGAACACACTCGACCATTAGTTTAGGGCAGGAGTAGGCAACCTTGGCTCTTTTAGGACTCGTGGACTTCAACTCCCAGAATTCCTGAGCCAGCATGGCTCAGCTTGGAAACCTCTCCCTTCCCCTCAGCATGGCTGGCTCAGGAATTCTGGGAGTTGAAGTCCACGAGTCCTAAAAGAGCCAAGGTTGCCTACCCCTGGTTTAGGGGCTGTTCAAAATTACAACGGCACTGAAAAAAGTGACTTATGGATGTTTTTCACATTTACGACTGTCGCAGCATCCCCATGACCACCCGATCAAAATTCAGACGCTTGACAACTGCATTATATTTATGACAGTTGCAGTGTCCCAGGGTCACGTGATCCCCTTTTGCCACCTTCTGACAAGCAAAATCAGTGGGGAAGCCAGATTCACTTAAACTAATTTAACAGCTGCAGGGATTCACTTCACAACTGTGCCGAGAAAGATTGTAAAATGGGGCAAAAGTCACCTAACAGCTGCCTCGCTTAGCCACGGAAAGTGTGGGCCCAAATGGGGTCGTAAATAGAGGACTACCTGTAACGCTCGCATGTATTGTATAGGGGAGAAATGAAATTGCATTTTATGATTTCCGTTCCCAGAAAGACAGTTCCTTGCAGGAGGCAACGGCTAAGCCTGTGAGGTCTTAAAAGTTCTCAAAAATTCAGCTCAGAAACTTTTCCATTGCTCTTACTAAGCACTGGCTGGAAATAAAACCCATTTCTGGACCGGTTTGCCCTCACTTCGCTTTTTTGGAGTAGTCAATTATCTTATTTCTAGCAAGATTAAAAGGTGATGCATTTAAATGCCTGATTTGTACCTTGTTTCCTTTTGATTAATTTATTTTTCCGGGCGCATGGCACGCATGTGTTCTCTTCACTTTGTGAAGCCAATTTTTTTTCCCGGTGCACATGGCACAGGGTAATTGTGGAGTATGTATAATAGATTTGGACAAAGGTTAATTTCAGTTGCTTCCTGCTTTGATATGCCCATCACATGAGATGCCTCCAAAAGGCGTTGGCTACCAATTGTGGCCCACTGTGTACTTTGTGGTTAGAAATGGCAAAGCTACTTTGTAGACATGGCTGTTTCTGCAGGCGAAAAGGGTGCGACTCTTCACACCGTAAGGCTCTGTCAGAAGTAAAGTCTTCATCCTGGTTCATCCAAGCCGGGAATAAATAAGCAACATGGTGATTGCTTTGGGAAGATGGTTACAGTTTATTGAAGAAGCAGAAAGATGGTTCTTGCAGGAAAGAGCAGAGGAGTGAGAAGGGCTGAGCACATGGGCAAAGGGTTTTTTATACCCTCTCTAGCCTTTTGTTTGGAAGTTTCCTGTTCCTGTGGCATGAACTTTGAGGCTATTTCCTGTGTCACGTATTCTGACCTGAGCCTAGGTGTGCCTCTCTGGTATACTTGATGGTAATGGGTTAGTCCTACTACGTCCCAAAAGTCATATCCTGCTTCCCTGGTGATGAGGTTAATGACTCCTAGAGTTTGGGTGGGGTATGCAGATTTTAAGTCCCTTTATCTTTTTGAGTTCCCTGGCTCCAGCCTTCCTGATGGTTTTACATTTGCATTTGTATAGGGCTGGCTACTGCTTGGGGCAAAGAGATGAGGCCAGGGTTGGTTTTTGGTTTTAAAAATCCTTTTGAGGAAAAATATATTTTTCTGCCCTTTTAATATTTCCTTCTCTGGGCTAACTTCCCTCAGCGCCCTCCAGATCCTTTGTTGGCACGCTGCATTATCAGCTGCCTTCCATTTCTGAATTCCCAGAAATGTGTACTCCATTTCCAAAGACAGCAGGGAGATGATAATAATAAATCCCACTCTTTCAGGATCTGGTTGGGCTTGAAAAGTTAAGCAGGATAGGAACTGCTTAGTCCTTGGATGGGGGACCACTATGAAATCCCAGGAGTAGGAGATCAAGTAAACAGTCCAGTTGAAATAACAGCACAGGGCTTTCATTCTGCTACCCAAACAATTACAGGAGTATGTCTTTAAAACAATACTTCTCAAGCGTGGCAACTTTAAGAGGTGTGGACGTCAACTCCCAGAATTCCCTGGCCAGCTTTGCTAGTTGAGGAATTCTGGGAGTTGAAGTCCACGCCTCTTAAAGTTACCATGCTTGAGAAACACTGGTCTAAAAACACCAGGAGAAATTTGGCCCAAAGATTTTATTTACCCACAAAAAACCCTTAAACAATCTTCTCCTTTACCTCTCTGGTCTAAATTGGTGGGTGCCACTTCTCCTGATTTAAGACTTTTGGTCTAATTGACTTGTCCGATATTAGGGGCTTCCGTGGACCAGCTGGAATTTGGGCTTAGCAAAATGTGATGATCACAAACAAGGTTAGCTTTTGGCTGGCATGCTTGAGCATTCATTCACTGCATAGTTGTTTTGTGTGTGTGTGTGTGTCTGGTGGAAAAGTACCTGAGCTTTGGTTATCCAGCCAGTTTGCCCAGAGGAAATTTTTAAACCCATGAATAGTATGTATTTGTATGCATATGTGTGTGTGTGTTTGTGAATATAAATATGTTAAATAAAAGAAAGGATTTTGGTCAGAATTAAAAGACTACAAAGACATAAAAAGAAAAGTGGGAAAAAAGAAAGATATGAAAAAGTAATATAAAAAATTAAAGACATGAAAAGGCTAAGAAAAAGAAAAATATCTAAAATAAAAATATCTAACTTCTTTGCAGCAGGAACAAGCATAATGATTTGTCATTTTCCCAAATTGCATACCAAGGTTCCCTTCTTCCCATAAACAATCCTTTTTAATCAGTAAATCTCCAAATCACTGCTTCATTTCTGCCATCTTTAGGGGAAAAAAACTCCATAAAGGTTTTCCAGTCTTTTGTAAAAAGTACAATTGTTGTTCCCTGCTTAATCAAACTGGTCAGCTGTTCCATTTCTGCAAACTCAGCCACCGTCACTATCTAGTCTTCCATTGTGGTTATTTCTGTAGTCTTCCATCTTTGTGCATACAGTAAAGCCGCTGCAGTTACCATATACCGTATATAAAACCAATTGTGCACAAGCCTTTTCTAGAAGTCTTCTGTAGCTTAATGGAGAGAGAGAGAGAGAGAGAGAGAGAGAGAGAGAGAGAGAGAGAGAGAGAGAGAGAGGATGTGTGTTGCAGAGAGTTAAAAGAAGCTTCTTGAGTTGTGGAAAAAATTGCAATTTGGATGGTATATTTGGAAAGAAGAGAAATTTTATTTAAAGAAGTACTAAAGATAAGCAAATAAACACATAAGATGAGCAAATAAAAGGAAGGCTGGATCAACTAAGATTCTCTAGCTTGTACTACGATAGGAAAGGTTTGCTTCAGATATTCTATTCTATTCTATTCTATTCTATTCTATTCTATTCTATTCTATTCTATTCTATTCTATTCTATTCTATTCTATTCTATTCTATCAGTCTGTTTTGGAACGTTCTCCTTTTTCTCAGCATAGTCTACCTCACCAAGAGGTTGGGAGAGTTCAAATATTTACAAGTAGCTCTCGACTTATGACCACAATAGGGATCGTAAAATTCATCATTAAGTGATGCGGTTGTTAAATGAAGCTTCAGGTGACCGCTTCCAATTTTATTACCTTTTTTGCTGCAAGTCTTTAAGTGAGACATCACGTGACCCTGACTTGCAACTGTCCCTGCTGGCTTCCAAGTTGAACTTGGTTTGTTGCAAGCCAGGTGGGAAGGTCACAAGTGGCCATCTTTGTGATTGCGATGCGCAATGGTTGCCGAGCATCTGGCTCACCATCATGTGACCCCCCAGGGACGTTGCAAAAGTGAAAGCATAAAAATTGGCCTTCTCACATTTCACAGTGCCGTCATAACTTTGAATGGTTGCTAAACAAGTGGTTGTAAGCCGAGGATTATTTGTATTTTGAATACAGGTAGTCCTTGACTTACAACCATTTGTTTAGTGGCCATTCGAAATTACAACAGCAGTGAAAAAAAGTGGCTTATGACCAGTTTTCACACTTCATGATCACTGCAGCATCCCCATGGTCACATGATCAAAATTCAGACTCTTGGCAACTGGCATGTACTTATGACTGTTGCACTGTCCCGGGGTCATGTGATCACCATTTGTAACCTTCCCAGCTGGCTTCTGACAAGCAAAACCAATGGGAGAAGCCTGATTTGCTTAGTAATTGCATGTTTTACTTAAATAATTGCAGCGCCACTTAACAACTATGGCATAAAATGCCGTAAAATGGGCCGTAACCCGCTTAACAACTGCCTTGCTTAGCAGCGGAAATTTTGGGCTGAGTTGTGGTCATAAGCTGAGGACTACCTCTAGTCACCGAGGTCTCTGTGTAGTCTGGTGAGAATAAGTGGAATATGAGCATAATAAAAAATATTTGAAATAAATCCTAGTGGGGGGATTACTAATGTACTGTATATGACCCTAAAGCGTCACTGTTGGAGAAACAACTAAACCACTAATATGGTTTTTTTTCTTGTCTCACATAATATTTTGACAGCTGAGTCATTCTTTTCCTGCTTTCCTGACTCTGGTTGCTGCAGTTGCCTGCCACCTCTTGTCCTGCCCGTTCAAAAACACAAGTTTATTTTAATGTGGTTTCTTTAGAATTCAAATTAAACACTCTTCATTAGAGTTTGTGTGCATATTTTCTGCCATCTACTGGTGAATCCTAAGTCCTGCAGGTCAAACAATTAACCCTGTATTCCCCCCCATCTCATCTCAATCTTTTCTGGTTTCAGATTCACCTATGAGGATTACAAGCGGACAGCAGATTGGCTCCTGAGTAAAACCAAGCAACGGCCCCGAGTGGCTATCATCTGTGGCTCAGGACTTGGGGGGCTGGCTGACCTCCTAAAGGACCAAGTTGTGTTTGAATATGCTAAGATACCCAACTTTCCCCAAAGCACAGGTAATGGGAGATGGCCAGGGAGTGTAATTTTCACGAAGACCACTGGGTGGTGCCCTAAACCAACAGGATACAGAGAAGCTGCAATGCAACAAAACGGCCACCGGGGGCATCAGCAAAATGTTTAACCCTTTCCTTGTCTTATTAAAGTTATAGGCCACGCTGGGAAGCTGGTGTTTGGGAATTTGAGTGGGACGCCGACGGTGGTGATGCAAGGTCGATTCCATATGTACGAAGGCTACCCACTGTGGAAGGTGAGTCACTCCTCCCAGACCTGCAGTCATTTCAAAACTAAGATGTTGATCCAGTCATAATTTGAAAAACTGTGGAAAACCAATGAATTATAATAAAAGGACCAAGTGTCTCTGAGCACACTCAAAGATACTTTCCAGTGCTATTAGTCCAAAATTTAAAAAATGCAAAAGGAAGTCTCCAGGATGAATTTAGGCCAGGCACGTTCTCTCAGCTAATCTCCTTCAAAGGGATGTATGTATGTATGCATGTATTTATTTATTTGTTTGTTTCTTTAATTAATTATTATGAAATTTATTTGCCACCCATCTTATGTCAAACAACATGTTGTAAAAATGGCAAAGAAGCCATTTTCTCCCACTTCTTTGGAAGAAAGATGAAAAGCCAGTAGATCTTTGCAGAGGTACAGCGGCAAAATTTGTCACTTGTATTCTTGTGAAGAAAGGAAAAATACTTGGGGAATCGCCACATTCATTCCAGGAAAGTTTCAGGCCAACCTGTAATAATTTTAAACTAAATGGAGCAACACCCTTTATAAACTCCTTGACTCTACCTAATGATGAACTTGTTCTTGCGTTTTTGGCTTCAACTCCTCTTTAATTCATCATAAGAATGTTGTAGGTAGCTCAATGGGCATTTACGGTGGATTTCCCTACTGATTCCATCCAAGAGCTGCCTCAGAATGGGTGGAATTTGGTCTTGGTTATCACAACGGCATCAATCCAGCTTCAGGCTTCAGTTAAACATTGTTCAGGCTCCTCAAATGTTTTTCCCCATTCAACCATTGCTCGGTCGTCCGCAAACATAAGGTTGTTAATACCTTCAGGGAGTGGCTGATCATTGGTGTAAATATTAAAAAGAGTTGGAGCCAATGCACTACCTTGTGATAAGCCATTCCTTTGGTTATAATAGTAACAATTAGTGCTTTTTTTGTAAAAAAAAAAAAGTGCCAGAAGTCACACATGTCATACAACCCGTCTTGCCTACCCTACAAGGTTCCATCCAAAAAAGGTGCCGGAACTCCGTTCTGGGCATTCTATGACAAAAAAAGTCATCATTATCATCATCATCATAAAGGTGAAAGGGACCTTGGAGGTCTTCTAGTCCAACCCCTGCTCAGGAAGGAAACCCTATACCATTTTGGACAAATGGCTGTCCAGTTTCTTCTTAAAAACCTCCAGTGTTGGAGCATTCACCGCTTCTGGAGGCAGGTTGTTCCACTGGTTAATTGTTCTGACTGTCAGGAAGTTTCTCCTTAGTTCTAGGTTGCTTCTCTCCTTGATTAGTTTCCATCCGTTGCTTCTTGTCCTGCCTTCAGGCGCTTTGGAGAATAGCTTGACTCCCTCTTCTTTGTGGCAGCCCCTGAGATATTGGAACACTGCTATCATGTCCCCCCTCGTCCTTCTCCTTATTAAACTAGACATGCCCAATTCCAGCAGATGGTTCCTCCATCTACTTCACCTTCCTTGGAACGCCACCAAAAACATATGATTCTGAAGCAGATTCCTGACGATAGCGTAAAGTTTCTTTCTTCCGTCTTCTAAGATTGATGATATTACATGCAGCCATGAAATCTATGAATATTGTTCCTGTTATATTTCCCCGAAGAGCTGACAACCTATTTCACTAGTGGGAAAAGGGCAGAGACAGATTCCTGAATTCTGAAAGCGGAACGTTTGGGTGCCTCCAAGCCATGGGGTCTTTCTTTGTTAAGTGTTTAGATAAAACAGTGCTCTTCAAAAGGAGACTACAGATGATTGCAGGTAAAATTCGGACAGATAGATCCCTTGCTTTGCTTAGAGCAGGGCTTTTCAATCAGTGGTACAGGTACCACCTGTGGTACATTGGCACCTGGCAGGTGGTACGCGACCATCCTAGAAAAGTGGTAGCGGGGGAGGGGAATGAGCTGAACCGGTGGCAGCACCGCACAATCCTGAGCGAGAGATGGCTGGAGCTGCAGGGCTGTCAGGGCTCAGCGGAAGCGCCAGGATCAGCGCTTCTTCGGGACTGTCAGGGCTCAGTGGAAGCGCCAGGATCAGCACCAGGCTCCAGCTGGAGCTCGGCGCTGATCCTGGCGCTTCTGCTGAGCCCAGAAAAAGTGCCGATCAGCTGAAATGTTGCAGCATCTCCAGGGTCTTGTCATTTACATTCAGATGCTTGGCAACTGATTCATATTTATGATGGTCACAGTGTCTCGGGGTCATGTGAAGTGACCGAAACCTGCTGCAACCACCCAGCAGACGGGGGGAATAAAACCCAAACACCCCCCACCCCACCTTTGCTGCCAATCCTCAACAGAAATGCTCACAACAATGAAAACCTCGGACAGGAGGAAGAGCGCGGCTGGATGGGCAGGCAGGTGTCTTGCTCGGCTGTGTCTTGTGGAGCACCTTTTTCAATGCCATTGTAACTTCGAACAGTCACTAAGCGAACTGTTGTAAGTCGAGGACTACCTGTACTTTATCACTTTTTTCCTTTTTTTTTTTTTTTGGTCATCAAGTTTTTGATACCTTGCTAGGCAACCGGTGGTACTCTGATATTGCCATATCCTAAAAGTGGTACAACGGGTGAAAAGGTTGAAAAGCCCTGGCTTAGAGCCGTCAGAAAACTGGAGACTAGCTTCCTGTATCTTGCTCTCGCTCCATGCCATAACACCCCTTCAGGATCTTCCTTTGTTTTTTCTCCTTCCAGGTGACCTTTCCAGTTCGGATCTTCCATCTGATTGGCGTTGAAACCCTCATTGTCACCAATGCAGCTGGGGGGCTCAATCCTGCTTTCAAAGTCGGGGACATCATGGTGATCCGGGACCACGTCAACATGCCTGGATTTTCCGGGCAAAACCCTTTGATGGGACCGAACGATGAGAGGTAACGCGAGCTTCTTGCTTCACTGGACTTCTGTGAGGAGAGAAAACAGATTCTCTGTGGCTCTTTCAAAGACCGCTTCCAGAGCAGTTTTGAAATTGGACTACAGATAGTCCTTGACTTACATCCACAGCTGGGACGAGAACTTCTGTCGCTGTGGTGAAATGTAGCCTGGAATCCCAAGAGGGAGGGGCTGCTTCCCAGGAGGCCATGAGACCGTGAGGGGTTGAAATGTTCAGTAGGCAGGAAGAGGGCCAGCAGTTCACAGACGATATCTAGAAAGATAGTCCTCGATTTTCAACTATTCGTTTAGTGTTTGTTCAAAGATACAACGGTCCTAAAAAAAAAAAAAAGGAGTCACGACCATTTTCCACACTTACGACCGTTGCAGCACCCCCATGGTCACGTGATCAAAATTAGGATGCTTGGCAAATGTCAAATATTTATGGTGGTTGCAGTGTCCTGGGATCGCGTGATCACCTTTTGCAATCTCTGACAAGCAAAGCCTGGGGAAGCCAAATAGCATTTGCACTTAGACTTATAAACCGCTTCATAGTGTTTTACAGCCCTCTTTAAGTGGTATACAGAGTCGGCTTATTGCCCCCAACAATCTGGGACTTCATTTTACCCATCTCGAAAGGAGAGGGATAGAATCAAGATCACGTGAAGTGTTAATACCACTTTACAATGCCTTGGTAAGGCCACACTTGGAATACTGCATCCAGTTTTGGTCACCGCGATGTAAAAAAGATGTTGAGACTCTAGAAAGAGTACAGAGAAGAGCAACAAAAATGATCAGGGGACTGGAGGGTAAAACATATAAGGAACGGCTGCTGGAATTGGGTATGTCTAGTTTAACGAAGAGAAGGACGAGGGGGGACATGATAGCAGTGTTCCAGTATCTCAGGGGCTGCCACAAAGAAGAGGGAGTCAAGCTATTCTCCAAAGCGCTTGAAGGCAGGACAAGAAGCAATGGGTGAAAACTAACCAAAGAGAGAAGCAACCTAGAACTAAAGAGAAACTTCCTGACAGTTAGAACAATTAACCAGTGGAACAACCTGCCTCCAGAAGCGGTGAATGCTCCAACACTGGAAGTTTTTAAGAAGAGACTGGACAGCCATCTGTCTGAAATGGTGTATGGTTTCTTGCCTGAGCAGGGGGTTGGACTCGATGACCTCCAAGGTCCCTTCCAACTTTATCATTATTATTATTATTATTATTATTATTATTATTATTATTATTATTATTATTATTATTATTATTATTATTAAGTCGGTCAGGATCGAACTCCTGGTAGTGAGCAGAGTTAGCCTGCAATACTGCATTCTAGCCATTGTGCCACCACAGATCAGATTCATTTCACAACTGTGTTGCTAAGTAAACAACTGCAGCGATTCACTTAACAACTGGCAAGAAAGATTGTAAAATGAGGCAAAAGTCACTTAACAACTGTCTCGCTTAGGAATGGAAATTTCTGGCGGAAGTTTGGTTGCACGTTGAGGACTAGCTGTAGTTTTGCAAGTAGTTGCTTTATTCTGGCAAGATTCTGTCTGTGCAACAATAAAGAAACAACGCTGAAGTAGCTCCACATATCGTTCTTGGTTTGTTGGGCCTGACATCAATCTTGCATAATAATAATAATAATAATAATAATAATAATAATAATAATAATAATAATAATAATAATAGTCAATTGCAAAAGGCGGCCTTACTAGGAACTGCTTCCATCCTGTGACGATATCTGTAATAACATCAAACATCCACATCTGCCTATCCCAGGTCCTTGGTAAGGACTCGATAGGTAGACAAAATGCCAAATCCAGTCTGAACATCTGGCTGACTGTGCGATGATCCATAATAATAAAATAAATAAAGTTGGAAGGGACCTTGGAGGTCATCAAGTCCAATCCCCTGCTCAGGCAGGAAACCCTATATTATTTCAGACAAATGGCTGTCCAGTCTCTTCTTAAAATACTTCCAGGGTTGGAGCATTCACCACTTCTGGAGGCAGGTTGTTCCACTGGTTAATTGTTCTAACTGTCAGGAAATTTCTCCTTAATTCTAGGTTGCGTCTCTCTTTGGTTAATTTCCACCTGTTGCTTCTTGTCCTGCTTTCAGGCGCTTTGGAGAATAGCTTGACTCCCTCTTCTTTGGGGCAGCCCCTGAGATATTGGAAGACTGCTATCATGTCCCCCCTCGTCCTTCTCTTCGTTAAACTAGACATACCCAATTCCAGCAACCGTTCCTTATATGTTTTAGCCTCCAGTCGCCTGATCATCTTTGTTGCTCTTCTCTGCACTTTTTCCAGAGTCTCAGACTAGAACAACTATATGTCTTGCATAGCTGTAGATATACTCTGTGAACTGCTAGGGAAGGTCAGTCTTAGCCCTCTTCCTGCCTACCAGACATTCCAAGCTCTGTTATCTCTTTATCTTCTGAGCAGCATCCCCTTCCTAGGATTCCAGACTACGTTCCACTACAGTCGCCAAGCGATGCAGAAGTGAAGTGACTCATGTTCAATTTTACACTCTTTTTTGCCATTTTTGTTAAACGAATCACACTGTTAAGTGAATCTAGCTTCCCCCCATTAACTTTGCTTGTTGGAAGCCCCCCTGGGAAGATCTTGACTGGTGATCATGTGACCCTGGGACACCGCAACGGTTGTAAATACGTGCTCGTTGCCAAGCACTCATGTTTTGATCACGTGACTGTGGGGACATTGCGACAGTCATAAGTGCAAAGGACCTGGTCCTAATTCACATTTTTCAGCATTGTCATAACTTCAAACAGTTGTTAAATGAATCATCATAAGTCGGAGACTGTAGCTTTACAGCATTTGGGCCATATAATATTTAGTTCAGAGTCCAAGGCTGCCTTCCCAGCCTTTATGAACGTTTCTGATTTAAACAGAATTACGGGCTATTTTTCAGATGCAAATAAAAGAAATACAATCCTGTGACTCTCCCAAAGGTGTTTTTTTTCAGCAGGCAACTGGACTTTTTTTTTTGAAGACGTTTCACTTCTCTTCCAAGAACCTTTTTCAGCTCTGACAAGATGGCGGGGAGTGAAGTCAGAACTGAAGAAGCTTCTTTTTTTTTTTAAATAAAGGTTTTCTATTGAGTTTTATAAGGTTGGGGAAGGGGTAGGACCAGGATAGGGATTAAGGTTCAGGGTGGGGTTAGGATCGGGATTGGGGTTGGGACAGGATTGGGAACAACATTGGGGTTGCCCCCCAGTAACATTTTCAAGCTTTAGCAAACAGACTATTGTCCGGGTACATATGTTCATTTAACACTAATTAATATAATAGTAAATAGCTGTAGGGAATATGATAAACGATAATCATAAACAGTTGGTCAATACATATCATTCTTCTTACTAATATATATTCAAAGTAACATATCACATTCATTTCTCACTAGTTGGTTTTCCTAACCATTGGTAAAATGTATCCCATGTTTTAAAATAAACTGAAAAAACTTCTTGGATGAGAAGCAAAACGTCTCCAAAGAAAAAAACAGGAAAGTCCAGTTGCCTCCTGAAAAATTCACCTTTGGGATAACCATGACCTGGAAGAACCTCCAGAGACATTTAGCTATATGCACTTTGGGATGAATCCCATGACTCATTTTTCCCTTGATTTTTTTTGCAGGTTCGGTGTCCGCTTTCCAGCCATGTCGGATGCCTACAATGAAGACTTGAGAAAACTGGCTGTTACGGTGGCTACTGAAATTGGCTGTTCTGGCTCCATGAGGGAGGGGGTCTACTGCGCCCTGGGAGGCCCCAACTACGAGACCATCGCCGAGTGCCGTTTGCTGCAGAGGCTGGGGGTCGATGCCGTCGGTCAGTCAAGGACAGAGCTATGGGGAAATGTTGCTCCTGAGGCATTGATCAAACCAAGTCTTTGTCTCCAGGCCCACTCCTGATGACCTGATTACTTTTTAGGCAAAATTAAAGAAGAAGATTATCTTCTTCTGCAATATATTTTTTTAAAAAAATTCCTGACAGATTTATAAACTGTTTTTCAGGTCGGAGAACGGGGGGTGGCTGTATTTAGGAATCTCCTTCATAATAATAATAATAATAATAATAATAATAATAATAATAATAATAATAATAATAATAATAATAATAATAATAATAATAATAATAATAATAATAATAAAGTTGGAAGGGACCTTGGAGGTCATCTAGTCCAGCCCCCTGCTCAGGCAGGAAACTCTATACCATTTCGGACAAATGGCTGTCCAGTCTCTTCTTAAAAACTTCCAGTGTTGGAGCATTCACCGCTTCTGGAGGCAGGTTGTTCCACTGGTTAATTGTTCTCACTGTCAGGAAGTTTCTCCTTAGTTCTAGGTTGCTTCTCTCCTTGATCAGTTTCCATCCGTTGCTTCTTGTCCTGCCTTCAGGGGCTTTGGAGAATAGCTTGACTCCCTCTTCTTTGGGGCAGCCCCTGAGATACTGGAAGACTGCTATCATGTCCCCCCTCGTCCTTCTCTTCGTTAAACTAGACATACCCAATTCCAGCAACCGTTCCTTATATGTTTTAGCCTCCAGTCTCTTAATCATCTTTGTTACTCTTCTCTGTACTCTTTCTAGAGTCTCAGCATCTTTTTTACATTGTGGTGACCAAAACTGGATGCAGTATTCCAAGTGTGGCCTTACCAAGGCATTGTAAAGTGGTATTAACACTTCACGTGATCTTGATTCTATCCCTCTGTTAATGCAGCCCAGCACTGTGTTGGCCTTTTTGGCAGCTGCAGCACACTGCTGGCTCATATTTAAGTGATTGTCCACTAGGACTCCGAGATCCTTCTCACAATTACTACTATTGAGCAAGGTACCCCTTATGCAACTGATAGTAAAAATGGACATAAGGCTGATTTCGGATATTAAAAGTACTTAAGAAAGCCGTCCGAGAGAAAGGGATCAGACGCTCCCAAGCAATTTTCCAAAGCTTCCCAAGCTATAGAACAGGCTGTGGACCGGTGCCCGTCCATGACCTGTTAGGAACAGGCCACACAAGCGGCAGGTGAGCCAGCGAAGCTTCATCTGCACATGTGCAAGATCTAGGTCCGTGATGGCGAACCTATGGCACGCGTGCCACAGGTGGCACGCAGAGCCCTCTCTGTGGGCACGCGCACCATCGTCCCAGTCCTAGGCCTTTAGCTGGGTTTTATAAAACGTTTTCACTTTAGGCCTCCACCGTTGTGTGCAAAATATAAAAAAAAGGTTCAGTCAATCAATCAATCAATTTCAACTTTTCGCGGGGAAAAAAAAGATCTCACAAAGTTGGAATTGATTGATTGAACTTTTTAGTTCCACCCAGTCTGCCGTTACCACCGAAGCCATGCCCACCCAATTGGCCACTCCCACCCAATGGGCCACGCCCACCCGGCACCCGATGATACATAAGTGGATTTTGGGTTGCAGTTTGGGCACTCGGTCTCTAAAAGGTTCGCCATCACTGATCTAGGTTGTATGTGAACCCTTGTCCCCCTTCCCTGGTCCATGGAAAAAATGTCTTCCATGAAACCAGTCCCTGGCACCAAAAAGTTTGGAGACTGCTGCTATAGAGAACCCGTTTGTTCTAGTGATTAAGGCACCAGGCTAGAAACCAGGAGACTGTGAGTTCTAATCCTGCCGTAGGCATGAAAAAAACAGCTGGACCACTCTCCCTCTCAGCCCAACTCACCTCATAGACTTGCTTTTGTGGGGAAAATAGGAGAAGGAAGGAGTATTGGTATGTTTGCTGCCATGAGTTTATTTTTAAGAGGGGTTCTTGGTAGTCTCTGTACTTGGTGGGGTTTTTTTGGGGGGCAGACATTTCATTACCAAACTAGGTAACATCATCAATGCACAATACAACCAAGCTCAGAGACCACCACGAACCCCTCATTTCAACCCTGAGCTACAAATATTCTCCTCTATTGGTTATGTATAGGTAGTCCTCTTCCTCCAGTTTGGCGGAGTGTTAAGAGAGCTATGTCCCCACCTCAGGCAGAATTAAATTATTGTCTCTCCTTGGAATTGATCCCCCTGTTTCTAATGTTAGTAATTTGGTTATATATTGTCTAGAGGATGGTTCCTCCTATATTACTTCTCAGGTTTCTAAATTTCTTTTAAGAGCTGTAACTATTAGAGGAGAACATTGTAATTCCCTTTAGCCAAGGCTTCTGGTGTTTAATTGTTTGTGATTATATTTTTCTTGTGTTTTCTTTTGTTGCACTTGCATTTTGGTCTGTGACCGCAAAATAAAAATTATTATTATTATGTCCCCACCTTTCCTAATCCTCCTGAAAACTGATCCTCTAATACAGAGGTCCCCAACCGTTTGAGCACCAGGGACCGGTTCCGCGGAGAGAGGTTTTTCTGTGGACCAGAGGGGGCGTGGTTTCATGTACTGCCTGCATCCTGAGGATGGGGCTTTGCTTGTTTGCGTGGACCGTTTTTGGGCATGCTGCGGCCCGGTGCCGGTCCACGGACCGGGGGTTGGGGACCCCTGCTCTAATGCTTTCCCCTTTCCTTCCTCCCTTCCAGGCATGAGCACGGTCCCTGAGGTCATTGTGGCCCGTCACTGCGGCCTCCGGGTTTTTGGCTTCTCCCTCATCACCAACAAAGCCGTTCTGGACTATGACACCAAAGAGAAGGCCAACCATGAAGAAGTCTTGGAAGCCAGCCGCCAGAGCGCCCGCACCCTTGAGAAGCTGGTCTCCATGATGGTGCAGCGCATCGAAGGCAACAACAACCTAGCCTAGGGGCCATCCAGCTCACGATCCTCCATGTGACTTTGGGCAAGGAGAGAATATGCTTCTTATTAAATCCTGCTGCTAAGATTCCCGCTCTTGGGTGCGATGCAGACATTTTGGTCTGGAAAGTTGCCAAGAGTGGAAGTAGCATCCTTTTAATCCTGCCTACTGTCCGCCTCTGACCAAGAAGCCCTTTTTTTGTCTGCCTGTTTTTGTCCTTCCTGCCTGTTTTTGTCCTTCGGTGTGTTGCTTCTGCATGTTGGTAGTTCCTGTCCCATTTCATCTGTTTTTCTGTAAAAGTCCTCCAGAAACCCCGTTGGAGCAGACTATGTGAGAAATCAGCTCATGTAGGCCTGTTTTACTTTAAAATCAGGGACGTGAAGAAGAAGTCCTTTTAACCATTTCAAAATAGCCGTTCTCTCATCAGCAATCTAGCAACAGCTGGCTGTTTTTTCTTTTTTGTTACGGTGCCATTTTGTTTCTGATTGTAGCTTTGGGTTCAGTTTTCTGAATCCTAAAATCATTGTTGGAGGGGAGTCAAAGACCGCCGAATCCAACCTAGATGTTTGGGTCTTCTCCTGTGCTTGGGCATTTTGAACAGGGAGTCTTAATTGCTATGCAATAACTTGTCTGGCCTCTGTTGCTTCCAATACTTGAAATATTATTCACGGAAGTTCTTTCAAGTTCCGTTTGATCTTTGCAGTTACCTGTTGAAGTTGCACATTAATCCCTTGGATTAACCTGTTTCCAGCCACACTTGTGATCCAAAGACGCTACTGAATTTCTCAGAACTTGAATCCACCACCTTCAGGCAATAAGCAGGCGAGATCATGTTTTCACGAAATATGGATGACGCTGATAAGTGAAAGGTCAGGATCTACGTCAAATTTAACTCACCTGGATGCACCTCCATATCAACTAGAACAAAAGGCCCTTCTGCATATAAAAATTAAGTACATCCTGTTGGGGTTAGAACTCTGAATTGCTAGCATCCTATGTGAGGGGATCTGTGTGGAGCAGCCTTCATAGATGTCTAACCTTGAATTTGAATCTCTTTCATAAGGGTCTATGGCAGGGGTAGGCAACCTTGGCTCTTTTATGACTCGTGGACTTCAACTCCCAGAATTCCTGAGCCAGCTTGGAAACCTCTCCCTTTCCCCTCAGCATGGCTGGCTCAGGAATTCTGGGAGTTGAAGTCCACGAGTCATAAAAGAGCCCAGGTTGCCTACCCCTGGTCTATGGAGATTCTCAGTCATCCAGGTCATGGTTGCTTTTTCACAAGGCAACTGGACTTTGATTTTTCTTGAAGACCTTTTGCTTCTCACCCAAGAATAGCCAGAACTGAAGAAGCTTCTTGAATGAGAAGTGAAACATCTTCAAGGAAAAACAAAGTCCAGTTGCCTTTTGAAAAAGCACCTTTGGGACACTTTTGTAAGGAGAATTCTGCAAGAAGTAGACCAAAGCTTACTCATTTGTGTTTCATTGTCTTCTGTGAGCATAGTCAGATGTTCTTGTTTAAGGGACTGCTATGCCCAAGGAAAGTGGGCATCCTTGTTCTTCTCTTTTATAGTTTCCCTTAGCTTCCAGATCTGCCAGGTTCTCAATGGGTAGGGGATTAAGTGTGGTTTTCCACTTCTCCTCTAACCAACGATGTGATTGGACCATTGAACTGGTCCACAGAGAGAAAGTCAATGCACAGTTTTTGCAAGCAGCCTATGATCTTGGAAATCCCAAATTCATTAAGTGACCCAGAACATCAGGAGCAAGCTTCGTTCACATTCAACTCTATCCAGAGATTCATTTGCACCTAGCTATTTCCAGGCGCGGGTAGAGGAGCCCATCACCCCTCCCGTCTCGTATCTAAGAAAGGGGAATCCTCTAATTTGTTACTACTGTTAATCATATCTTCTTAGCCTAATAATTCTGCCTGTCTGCAGGGGAAACAAGAGGAGGCAAATGACGGCGCGTAGTGATGATGTCATCAGCCACGTGTCTTGTTTGATATCCTTGTGGCTTGTTTCGCACTGGTGCTTGTTCTTGTTTGGAGCTCCTAGTGCAGGGGTAGGCAACCTTGGCTCTTTTATGACTCGTGGACTTCAACTCCCAGAATTCCTGAGCCAGCTTGGCTGGCTCAGGAATTCTGGGAGTTGAAGTCCACGAGTCATAAAAGAGCCAAGGTTGCCTACCCCTGTCCTAGTGAGTCACCTAATGCATCGTCATGTGAAGGACTAGGTCTACAGCTCTAGTGGAAATATCTTTGTTCTTCTGATGTGGTCCAAGGATTCAGTGGGTTTTTTTTTTTCTGATTTAAGAAGAAGTTGGTTTCTGTAGCAGTGGCCAATTACTTCCCCAAATTTGTTACATTCTGGGATGAATAACTCATTAGGCCCAGAGATGTTGGAGGGGAGACTTACTGATGTGAAAGTTTAGGGCTCAGATTCTTGCAAAGACAAATGTGAAACACTGTAGGGAACACACCAGTTGGAAAATAATTCTGGTGTGTTCTCATATTTTCCATAACAATGTGCAAAACTTAAGAGGTGGAATTTTTGCAAGAGAGAGAGAAAGAGAGAGATAGAGAGGTCAATTGCAACTTCAGTTCTGCATATCCAATTTCCCTTTGAGGCACAGCTGCAAAATCCAGCTTTAAAGGAGACCTTCCAGGCACTGAAATCCAGACACCCCCCCCCCCCCTATAGTCAGTTCACCTCTTCTGTTGTGTAAAGATACTATTCCAAAATACAGTTTTGATTTCTGCTGGTAAATCTTTTCTCCCCCGTTTGTCTTTCTGAATCCCTTTTTTTCCTTTTCTCTCCGTTCTCCCCTGGGCTGAAAAACAAGCTCTTGCCATCTTTTCAAAGCACGCTGAGGAATCAAACCAGAACCGAGAGGAAGTGACGACGAATGCTGGCTCGCTAAGCCTGAATGTTTCAAAATTAGACATAATGAATATATTTTTTTAGAGCATGCACACACAATCTGCACTTTTTATTTTATTTAAACTACTGTAATGGAGTTCCCCCATTAATTGTAATGTAACTAAATAAATAAAAGTTAAGTTAGAATGAGAAGAAGACCCGTTGTGGTTTGTACCAACGCTCTTTGGTAAGATGATGAAGAAGGAGAGAAAATGGTTGTGAGATTTCCCAAGCAATTTCTCTCCAGGCTTCCAAATCCTCCAACATTTCCGTTCGAGAAGAAGGAGGGGGGTCTGTTTATGTTTATTTGCCGGTTTCCATGAATAGGCAGCCCTTAACTTACAACCATTTGTTTAGTAGCTGTTTGAAGTTAGAAGAGCACAGAAAAAGGTGACTTGTGACCATTTTCCACACTTAACTGTTCCAGCATTCCCACGGTCATGTGATCAAATTTCGAATTTAGCTCATATTTATTTATTTTATTTATTTTATTTATTAAATTTATATACCGCCCTATCTCCCTTGCGGGACTCAGGGCGGTGAACAGGTGATACTAAAAACCACGATAATAAATAAATAGTTTGTTTTAAAATCGAATTAAATAACAGGCCTGTTCTAAAAACACACCCGTAAAAAAACCCCCACTGAACCATAATCAAACTACGCCAGGCCGGCCGCACGGAATAGATGGGCCTTCAGGGCTCGGCGAAAAAGGCGCAGGTCCGCAACTGTACGTAGGTCAGGGGGTAGGTCATTCCAGAGGGCAGGAGCTGCCACAGAGAAGGCTCTCCCCCTGGGGGTCGCCAGCCAGCATTGTCTGGCCGACGGCACTCTAAGGAGGCCCTCTGTGGGAGCGGACTGGTCGAAGGGAGGTGTTTGGTAGGAGGCGGTCTTGCAAATACCTAGGTCCATTGCCATGGAGCGCTTTAAAAGTTGTTACTAACACCTTGAAGCGCACCCGGAAGGCCACCGGCAGCCAGTGCAGCTCGCGCAGGAGAGGTGTTACATGGGAGCATCTAGAGGCCCCCAAAATCC